AGCAGTTATTCCTGATGCTCAGCCAGCCATGTTGCAGTTCAGCGGTTGCCTGACTTAAACATTTTCCAACAAGTCTCTAAGAGGCAGGAGTAACACAAACCCAGGAAGTGCAGCCAAGTGTGGGGTCAACGGCCAAATGTGCCTTTGGCAGCTAAATTGGGTTGTGTTTTCCCCTGAAGTTATTTGTGTACATGGCAGACTCTGAAGTTAGTGTCAGGTTACAGCCATGTACAGTATTCGTACTTTGCCTGTATTGGTCCACATTATAAGAGTCAAGAACTTGGACAGAATTCTTTAGTTTCCAGGGAAGGAGTAGGATACTCCACTTAATTATACTGTAATCATAAAAGCCAAGGGGAAGCACTCTAATTACAATAAATCTCTGACATTCATGTATAATGGATATGAGGCATAATTCACTCGCACTCATCATCTTGCCCCATGCCCATGTTTATTAAAGTTTTACAAAATCAAATAAAAAGAGTTTCTTCTGGCTAGCTAAATAGCCTGATAAGATGGAGGAACTCATTTCTTGTTAAATCCATTACTCACGGTAAACATCATGACGTGGATAATTCCCATCTGCTGAGCAGCTGCAATTCAGGTCACAAAGTACAAAGTACACCTAAGCGTTTTACAGGTAACTCTGGATCTGCTATTGCTCTCTAAAGCTGAGCTGGAACCTTAACAAACAAGTGCCCTGAGACCTCCTCTGTGGCCTTCCCCACACCTGCCACCCCCTGGAGGGGTCAAAGAGAGTTAGCTCTCTTTCAGAGGCTGTGATGGAGAATTCTAGGCATCCATCAGAATCTACTAGGATCTTCTCCGTGCCCTGCCAGTGTCAGAGTGCCAGCTTCTATCCTGGAGAAGCTGTTGGTCCTGTGTTTAGTTAAAAGTTCAGGTTAAATGGAAGTTTGGCATTACTCAGTTTAAAACACCTCAGTAAAAGCCCCACCCATCTGATAAAGTGTGTGATGCTGTTTAAAACAAATCCTTATTGTATATTGTGATGTGATACTTTGTGCTTCTCCTGCCTTCCCCCGTCAAAAAAGATCTTTTCTTAGAAGATCAGTGTCTTATAGCTCACCTATAAAGTATGCTTGAACCTTGTGTCTATTTCTTGGACCTTGCTGTGGTCTCTAGATATCCCTAGTTTATAAACAGAGAAGACTGGATGTGGAAGCCATTTCTTGGAAACCATTTAAAAACTTTGTTAGGGTAATTGAACAACCTGTGCTAAGAAGCTGGTCTACACTGGGTAAGAACTCTTTAGAGGCTAAGGGAGACAGAGGCATATTTTTTTTTCCTTTATTAGGAGGTGGCTCTTTTAAATAGACTGAAAATTCTGTTAGAATAACTACTGACAGGTCATGTCACAGTATATATTGAATCAGTGTCCCCTTTCCTGACAAGGAAAAGCCTTGATAATATTTTGAGTCTCCTAAACCATAAATCCCTATACTGTAGTTCTTTAGAGGCTAAGGGAGACAGAGGCATATTTTTTTTTCCTTTATTAGGGGTGGTCTTTTAAATAGACTGAAATTTGTTAGAATAACTACTGACAGGTCACTGTAGCAGTATATATTGAATCAGTGTCCTTCCTGACAAGGAAAGCTTGTAATATTTGAGTCTCTAAACCATAATCCTATACTGTAGTTTATTTGAGGTCCCTTATAGACTTAGATCTTGTTATACATGGAACACTTAATCATCTTTCTGTGGAACCAGCTTGTTCTGCCTCTCTACCCTAGATTGTGCTGCAATGGTTTACACTCACTACTTCCGTCTCGTCTCGTGTGAATTCATATTCAACTCTCTACTAATGGCCTTAATATCATCCTGTCTTACTCTTACCTAGACTTCAGTGGCTACCATACCTGCAGAGTGAATTCTAAGGTTCTCAAGTTATGCATAGTGCTCTCTCATCTTTCCTGATTTTACATGTGTATGTTAGAATCACAATCTCCCAAGTTTTCTGACAGAAATGATGGATGTCCTTCTTTTTGTTTTTTCTCTTGCAAGTTCACCATAGGTATCTTAAAGCTCTTATCCACCTTCCACATATGATTTAGGGTTCCAGACTGTGCTCACGTAGTGATCTGGTGTGTATGAATGACCATTCATGAGGCCTTCTGTTAGCAAGGACATTTGAATCAGTCACAGACCAAATGACCAATTGGACAGCTCCTTGTGGGCCAGGTTGCCAACAATCAAGTTAGCATGTTGCAAGCTGACATTTTGTTCTATTTGATATTAGATCATTAGTTTATCAGTGCATAATCTTTTTTCACCATATTCTTTTATATGATCAAATCATACTGCACAGTGAGTTTCGGTTGCACCTTAAAAGAGGAGCATAACTTGATTAATCATCTTCAAGTATCTCTGGTAGAGACACACAATTAAAAGGTACTTTTGGAATTTGTTCACATTGCTATAGTTCTAATTTTCCTTCTGACTCTTACTTTCACCTTACCATTAACTTACCTAATTTATTTCAATACTTGAGTTTACTGAACTCTAAACTTCCTGCTCCAAAATTCATCAAGGTGCCAAAATAGAAGATCCTGTTCTAGTGGTATCCAGTTACCCTGTGGTTACACAGTTAGTGGATTCAGGCTCTGCTTTTAAAAGGAAAGCAGCTATAAACATAAGCAAACAAATTAGTACGAGTAGACTCCAATAAAACTTTATTTACAAAACAGGCAGTCCAAGACCACAAATGTCACTCCTGGGTCACTTGGAGCCTTATTTCAGTAGATTTATCAGACTCTGTTCAGGTACAGAAACATTTTCCAACTTTAGAAGGTCCTGGAGTAAAAACATTGAAGGTTACTTGTACTATATTGTGTAATTCAATTTTATCAGCGACAGAAGCTGAGGGAATAAGATTATAGAGAGCTTCATTTGCTTTCATAATAGCTCTCCCAGCTCAGCATATCAGGAATTGCATCCCAAATGAACCGAAATTTCTATGTGGTGCTCTGGCCCTCAGTTTTGAGAGCTATAACAGTGCTCTCTGGCCTCTTTATCAGTAGTACAGTTTTTAGGAAAATATCCCATAGTCATGAACTCAAGGAACAAAATCAGTGCACCAATGATATTTAGAACAGAAATATTCATTATTGTTAAATCTTTAGAATGACCCATTTGGGAAATAGAACAATGGCAGAGAAGACTTCTATAGAATCTTTTTCTATGGAAGTTGTGTGGTATTTATTTTCCTTGGAAATGCGTACATGTAAAATTGCAAGTGAGAAAAGTCCAGCATATTTACATGATATCAAACATATAAAGTCAATAATGGAAATCCTGTCATTTAATATTCATTCAGTTTTTATCAAATACGAGCCTACTATGAATAAATTTCTGCTCTAAGCACAGGACATAGTGGTGAATAAAATTGGCCAAACTTCCTACCCTACCTCGTGAAGCACAAGTCCAATGAGAAGGAGATAGAGATTTGAGGATCAAGGGGATTCTTGCCATTGAAATACTTGAATTTTCATGTCATGAGATTTTTGATCACAGAAATGCTGGTGTGAAATAGTTTTTCTCCTTTGTTATTGTTATTAGGAAGAGAATTTTCAGATAATTTATTCAACCATAATCTATTGAGCTCCTGCTATGTACAAATATTCTAGAAGGCACAGATGTAGTATGATAGAACCTGTAAATATCCCTACCCATGGAGCTGCATTCTAGTGGAGAAAAAGAACACAAAGATAAATAAGCAAATTTGTAAAAGGTTAGATAATGACTCGGGCAGAAGTAAAGTAGGAAAGCAAGATACGAAATGTTGGAAGAAGGCAAACTTTTAGATTTGGTGGTCAAGAAAGACTCTATGAAGCCAGGCCAGGCACGGTGGCATATTCCTGTAATACAGCATTCCACGCAGAGGCTGAGACATGATGATAGTAGAGAGAACAGCCTGGGCTACATAGCAAGTTCCAAGCAGACTGAACTGTTCAAAAAAACAACAACAACAAAGACTTAACAGAGACAGACTCCTTGAAAAGGTGGCTTTATAAAAGAATAAGCTAGCAAGGAGATGGTGAGAGGAGGGGTCATTCTGAATGGAGAGACTGCAGGTTTAAAGGCCTGAGGTGGGAGTATGTCTAGAGGTGGGAGTATGTCTAGAATATTAAAGGAAAATCAAGAAGGTCTCAATGGTAAGTGAAGGAAGGAGTAGTAGAGAATGACATGGAAGAGGTGAACAGAAAACCAGCTCACATCTATCCCTTTACGTCCTTGCAAAAACCTTGGATTGTATTCTGTATAAAAGGATGGCTTTGGAGAGATCGGAGCAAAGGAGAGAGATGGTTACGGTTGCATTAATACAATTCCTGCAGTTAAGAACACACAACAGATACAGGGAGGCCATTGCAGCAATCCAACTGAGAGACACTATGTATCTCCAGATGTGAGCAGAGAGAGGACAGAGGTGTGGCAGGAACTAGTGCTCCTGCTGCAGAGCCACCTGCCCGTAAGGGTGAGGTTCCTCAGGAGTAACGACCATTCCTTAACCATTGCTGTAACAGTGTCAGGTACCTGCTAGGTGCTTAATTCAGGTTGTTTAAATGTTATAGAACGAAACGAAAAAATGTAAAATCAAATTGGCTTTGTGGCTGCCCCCTGCTCCAGCATGCTCTCCATACCACTCTCATCCTCAATCACCTTCCCTGCTCTGGTTTTGATATATGAATTAGCATCTTCAGTGTTTATTGATATTATAAGTCTGCTTTGATTGTCAGTGACCTACCTTAAGTTTAAGTGACAGCATAATAAAGATTCCATCAAATCATTCTATCACATATTTTTATGCACTGAAAGTGTTATTACTGTCTTTTTTTTTTTTTTGTCTTTCTTTTTTTGGTGCTGGGATCAAACCCAGGGCCTCGCATATGCTAGGCAAGCATGTACCACCGAGCTACATCCCAGCCCTATTATTGCCTTTTAATAGTAACTGATTATAACTGGATGTGATATTTATTTTTCAGGGAACAACTTAATACTTTATTGAAGACCTATAACATATTTTATGAGAACCAGAAAAATCTGCATATTTTATATGGACAGGTAAGCCCTGAAATACTTTGCCTCAGAAAAAAGTTCTATAAACATGCAGAAGAGTGACTTAGAGTCTATAATTTAGCTACGTAAGAGGTCTGGGAAAAACAGGTAAATCTTTAACTTGATTCTGTTATTCTGTTTGTTTTTAGACTACAGCACAAAATACTAGGCCTAGAACACATGTGATTTTGTAGGCATTTTTGATATTAAAAAAATTTTAAAAATAACTGCAATGACCTATTTACTTTCCATATTAAAAATGGAGAGTTTCTCAAACAATGGAGAATGATTTGAACAGCAATTTCATTAGAATGCTATCATAACTTTCTTACAAATGCACCGGGATTAATATAGAAGAGTATTTGTTGTGACATTTTTTGTAATGGAGGAAATATGATGATATCTTAAGTCTCTACACATTAGGGATTAGTCAAACAAATCATGATGTACCTGTAACATCAAATTTGGTTTGGTTGTTAAAATGGATCAGTTAAATTCCAATGAATGTGCACTACACCAAAATAAAAACAGATTTTAAAATGTTAAAGAAACAGTTCAGGTAATTCTGAGTCCAGAAAGCATTTTTAAGGATGCAGATGGTTTGTTACTATATACTGACCTTAGCATTCCATTTTTATTCTTTTTGTTTCTCTTTTTTAAGTGAAATGTTTCTTTCTCCACAGGTCCCTTTACTCAGTCTTATATTCTGATGGGGTTCATTTTACATATTTACATTATCTTTCTGGCCCCAGAGAACATTAGATTTTTCTACCCCTGATTTATCCTCAAGTTTGATGGTACATCATAGAATTTCGGCCACCATAATCTGGCTTAATTTACAATTTGAAAAGAAAATTTACAAAGCTCTCTAGCCTTTACGACAGAGTTTAAATGATTTAGCTCAATTGTGCATTTTAATTACTTCACAAATTTAATAATATTAAAGAAAATAAGCTCTTTATAAAGAAATGTCCCTACTTTAAAAACATTTCAGGCTTACTAGCCAAAGAAATAAGAAGCAATAATACTTATTGAGCACCTATTGATTTCATTCTTAAAAGTTAGGGATTATTATAATGTCCACTTTTCAGAAATGAAGCCTAGGCTTAAAGGTGGTCAGCAGCTTGTCCAAGATCACACAGCTAGGAAGCAGCAGAGCCAGAATTTAAAACAGTTCTGTCTCTTTCCAGAGTCAGGAGTTCTCCTTGTGTTCTCAAATAAGAATTGAGTTATTTATGGTGTGTAACAGTCAATTTTTCATAGGAACAGGAGTTGGTAGATTTTATATTAATTGACCAATTGGTTAGTTTCTATATTTCCAAAGCTTCTAAAACAATAGTACATTACTAAACAGAACAGGTGTTTTAGGTATAAAAGAGAAAATAGATTAGAAAATAAACTCTGTAGCAATATGTTTTATTAATATTTTTGTTAATATTTCTTTATATATATTCACTATATATTCATTTGCTCATTTTTCTTTGCATGGTAGTTCCTTCTTGTGTTATACTATTTCTAATTTAAAATTCTTAAAATGCTATTCATTTTTCACAGATATTATTCATATATATATATATCATTTTATAGTCTTTTCCCTTACACTATTTACTTACTCTGCATAACTTTTTAAGTTAAATTCGTTTCTGTTTACTCTTTTAGAAATGAATATACAGCCTCTCAGTCTCTCAATAGCTGTTTGTTCAAATTTCTAGTTCAGTTCAGTTTTTTACATCTGCTTTAATTTTTTTATACCCAGAGAATCCATGCTGTTAATGATACACTATATTACAAATATATATATTATTTGTCATCAACTAATAATCTCAGTTTACAATCAGTTTTACTGACTGAGAGGGTGGTGAAGTAAAGTCATCTGTTCCACTGCAGTCAGTGGTAGCAGCCCATTTCCAAGAGTAGATTTTGGAGTCATTGTGCCATCCAGTATTGGAACGCTCCCAGTTCAAGCTCCCTTTCTGCCTCCACCAAGGTTGCTTTTAACCTGAATCAACCTAGGAAGGACAGTGTCCATCACATTCAGTTCTTCCATGGAGCAGCTGCAAATGAGTCCTACCTTTGCTCCCAGGGCTGGTCCCACTGTCTAACCATATCCAGGCCAAGGAGTCCTGACCTACCTCCTCTTCCACAAATGAAAGCTTCACTTTTTATCCTGACTCTATGGTGGAGAAGCAGGTGTTGAGGTGAGTCAGTCCACATTTCCTCTGTGCTCGCCTTCAGGACGTGACTGCTTGTGGCCTGGGCAAATTATTAATGCTCTGAGCAGCCACTGGAGCATTCATTACTCAGCAGCTATGGGAAGCACCTATTTTGCAGCCAGTGCTGAGCTGAGCCTGGGAAGCAGAAAGGGTTGAGGATAGCTGGTAGTGGTGTTGGGCAAATGGTTTTTGCCTGGCAAGGGAGAAAGTCGTCTGATGGAGCTTTTCAAAATACAAAGTTCCCAAGCTGGGCAGTGGCTCTACCTGTAATCCCTGCACTCAGGAGGCTGAGGCAGGAAGATCCTAGAGTTCCAGACCACACTGGGATACATAATAATACCCTATTTGAAAAGCAACAATAAAATACAATGTTCCCTCCCACTGAGTCCTGATATCTGCTGTAAATTGTGGGGGCTGAAATAAAGGGAGGTGGATTTGGGGAAATGCATTTCAAAAAATCTTTCCCAATTATATCTCACCTTCCTCATCCCCTCTCACATCACCATTGCCCAACCTGCTATCCGGGTACACTTGTTCTTTCATAATAAATCCGCCTTAATTTAAAACAATTAAAGCATTAAAATTCCACTTTATCCAAGAATCAGTTCAGAAAACATTTTAACATACTCCACCCTCTTGTGGACATGCCATTGTCATTTTGACTTACTTTGCCAGGTACAGCTGCTTTCAGAAATAAAAGAATGTTTCAAAAATCAGAATTATTTTGCAGAAAATTGAGAAGTCAAATGGTCCCCAAGAGAATTTTTTGGCCCATTAGGATTTCTTATAGACTTAATTTCCTCATCTTCAGTTAAAGCATTTACCTTTTATAAATAATTTTTAAAAATGAGAATTATTGGTTTCTTTCTTAGACTGAAGATGGGAAACTAATTGTTGAAGGAATATTGGACATTTCCTGGGGAGTAAAACGGCCTATACAGCTGAAAATACAAGATGAGAAGCAAATCTCTTGTTTTACTCTGTCAAAGTCACCCGATGCCTTTTCCAGCAAAGGGTAAGCTGTCTTTCATGCTTTTAAGTCTTTCAATGATCTTCATATCTACTTTTAGTGTGTGTGGTCTTAAAGGGAGCTTAAGCTTGTTATGTACAGCTCAATCTCACGTGATTCCTCCAGCAACTCCAGGAATTAGTTATTCAGAAACCAGGGCTCTTTGAAGTGAGGCAGTTTGTGCAAGGTGCCCAACTTCTGTGCAGAACCACAATGGACCTTCATTCTGTGGGCTTTCAAGCCTGTGTTTCTTGACCCCCCTCTGCTGTATGCTTTCTCTTGCAAGACTGCATTGCTTCATTGAAAAAGACAATTGTAAAGGCCGTATTTGGTTAGCTCTGGCCTGGTCTCCCAATAAAAAGGAGGATAAATTTTAAAATTCTCCTCTTTGGAACAAAGTACTCTTCCTGTTTTCTGGAAGGAATGATAAATTATGCTCTATCTGTTTGTCCTGAACCTGTTCAACAGAGCACAATAAAGTACATTTGAAGCTGAATAAGAATACAAAACAGTTCCCTGCATTGGTTTATGCAATTGTACCTTTAATAACTCTGTTGTGTTGATTTTTGTCATTGCTATTTATAATTTTTAGAAAAATGAGATAACATTTCCAGTAGAAATTACAAAAATTCCTTCCTTCCTTCCTTCCTTCCTTCCTTCCTTCCTTCCTCCTTCCTCTATTCCTTCATTCCTTCCTTCTTCCTTTTTGGTTCTTAGCTTTGTAACTCATCTCCCTTTTTATATACCTTGAAATGCTAAGCCTTCTCTTCACACCTTTCATCCTCATTACTGGATGAGTTAGGGTTCCATCAGAGGTGAGAATGGAGAAATAGCTGATAGGATAATTTGCCCTATCTGATCTTTGACCACAACTAAAGAAAACTAGTTGTCACCTCAAGAGAAGTCTGCTCTTTTTTTGGAGAAAATATTTAGGCCCACCATGACTTTCTCAAATATTATGCTCCAGCAATACTGAACATTTTGAATTCCCTAATCACATCACATCATCCAGTGTCTTGCTCACTTAGCTTAGCCTGGAAGTTGGCATGCTTTTCAACACCCATTTGCCTGACTCTTCTAACCATTCTTCAGATTCAGGTCAGGTCACACATTCTCCCAAAAGCTTTTCATGATCCCTCAGTCCATACTAGGTACATTGACCACTTTTCTATATCACCTCTGGAGTATGCAGTTCATTGCATTTTTACACGTGTATCTCCCCATCTACAGTGTCATCTTCTGGATGGTAGAGAACACTCCTTGAATCATCTTTGCATCCAGGTGCCCAGCAAAAAGAGGGGGCTAAATATATAGCACCAAATGAGGTCCCCAGAGACCTGTGCTTAAATTACCTTCTCTTTGGGTGACAGCCGTCTCCTCCACTTCTGACTAGTCTTCCATCCAAGCCACAGATTACCAGTGGGCAAAAGGTTCAGTGCTTATAAAAGAGCAGAAGTTGGGGGAAGAGGGAACCACAGTCTTAGGCAGCCTCATAATGTCCTATATCTTTACCTTCAAGTATTAGATGACTGAGTGAGCCCATTATTTAAATAACTAGGAGCATCATTTAAAAGTAGTGACTGAGCTCTGATTATATATATAGATAGATAGATAGATAGATAGATAGATAGATATACACACACACACACACATATGATTCACAAAATTATCTAGCATATATCACATTACCTAATAATTCATGGCAAAGTTCTCTGAGCAGCTAGCTCCTTTTGATGTATTTTAACTTTTTTGATTCATGAAAATTTAATAAGTGTGAAGATTTGATGTCTTGTGTAGTGAATGTGCCGAGATAGAAGTATATGGTGTGTACTCAGCTGTAGGAAGTGCTGCAATCGTGTGTCTTTCAGCTTACCCTTTGACAAGACCATAAGACTTGTCATAATAGCTTGTTTTAATTACATTAGAAATGAGTCACACCAAGGAAGTATAGGCTGATGGGAGTGGTAGAAGCTTAAAAATAAACCACTTTATTTGAGCTCTAAGCACTTGTAATTGTTTATGGAAATGATTCTATGGGCACTTTGATCTCTCATATCTGGTCAAATGTTTTCTCTTGGAAACTTTTCATTAACATAAAACCCAGCCTCATTAAGGTTGTTTGCTTGCATTCTTTTTCATTTCTGTTTTTAAATATCCTTCCGAAGTCAGCACTGGCATGTTATGGACAAGTCATGGCAGAATGAGGAAAAGAGTAGAAACTGGACAGGTGCACATTTGAATAACATCAATAGTGGATTTTTTTTTCTTAAAATATGGATGAGGAAATGACTGCATTCTATTTGTCTATCAAATTTCTACCTCCATTTTATTTTGCAACTCATTTAGAAGACTCCCTAGAGGTTAAATTTGCAAATGGTATACTCCTGTCAACTCTATTTGGTCAGAGCAACACAGGCAGTCCTGCATTTGGGCAAGTTAAACTATTTGATACTAAAGTTCCAACCAGTTCTCTCTTGAAGGCTCTGGGTAAACTGCCCTTATGCTTAGCCAAGTTCACAGCTCTGTGGAGTGGCCCTCAAATTACACAATCCAGATCTAAAAAGTAGTTGTCTTTAGTTGTAGATGGTAGAAAGGAAAAGAGACCAAACACTGACTACATTGAGCCATGTGTGAGCCCCTCATTTGTCTGACAGTTCTAAACTATAAGAAATTGGAGGAGAGCAACTGTCAAGTTTGCCAGAGTCATCAAGAGTTTGTGCTGTGCATCAGTGGTCTGGCATTCATGGGAATCTCATATTCCTTCAGATTAATAGCATCAAGTTGCTTTACCTGTTTGCTTTCTACTTTTCATTGGTATTCTGTTTTTTTCTATTGCTTACCCTCTTCTAGAATAATTAACATGTCTCCTTTTTTATTATAATTCTGCTATAAGTTGGGGAATGCATAATTTTATACACTGTAACAATAATTAGATCCTGAACTAGGACTCGAATATTCTCCTTTGAGTTATTACATAGAGTTTCTGGACTTTATGACATTCATTTTGACTGGCTATATTATAGATAGTAAAACTTGCTAGAAATTTTCTTGTTAACAAATATATTAAGATCATGCTATCTACTTCTTACAGGGATTGTGAAAATCAAATTGATATAATAACTGTAAAAGACCTCAAAAGAATTGAAAAGATCAAGAGAAAAAAATGATGTTTTTGCACTTTCATACCTTTTCCCACCATCAGTAACATTTGAGTAAAGTTAGTGTCACAAATTCTCAAATAGTGAATATTTTTTGTTCATAGACTCTTAATGGGACTAAGGCTGTTCCCATAAATACTAGTCTCCATTTGCCTAAAGAGACCCAGGCATGCCTTGGACTCCCACTGTGCCTGACCAATTGTGACACAAATACAGATGATAGAGATTATGATGTAGTGAAGATGAGGGTGATTGTGATGTTTTTAGATACATATTTTATTACTTTTCAGGAGAATGACGCGTTGGGGAATTTGATGATCTTTATCGTATTAGTGAACTGGACAAGACCAGATTCCAGTGGTCTGAAACAAGGAATTCCCGGGAAGGTCAGTATCAAATCTTATTAATGTACAGCATGACTCAAAATGCTTGCATCTTTCACACCACTATTCATAAACTCTTGGTTTACATACATACTTCTCAGGAAATTCCAAGGAATGTATAGTGTCATAAGTCATTATAGTGCTGATGGATAGTTCAAAACTTTACTCTGAACAGTATGTTGATTATTAAGCTGGTCACTTAGCTTTATTAGATTAGGGAGAGCTAATGGTTTGGATAAAGTTTGCATGTATAAAATTATTCAATATTTTCCCAAGAACTAGGATAATATATTATTCTCATTAGCTTCATCTGTTAGATCAAGCCCCTTAGACCTAATTCCACATCTTTGTAGAAGGTGAACATTTTAGTTAAATAACAATGCTGCTCAGAAAGAGACAGGTATGCTGCAGTTACTTTTCTATTGGTAGTTATTTCATCGTTTTAAAGACAAATCAACTAATATCAAGTGCTCTTACATCAAACTTAACCACCCAATGGAAAAGACCAGTTCCTGTAACATGTGACATTAGTGTTTGTAATAATGATGCTGATATATGATACTGTTAGCAGTAATATGATGATTGTTATGACTTGACACTGTTAAGTTAAATGCCAAGAATTATACTTTGTATTTTGCATGGATTTTGTTTCATGTATGGACATGTATAGAGATCTAGGGGGAAACTGATGGCTGAAGCTGGGGCGAGGGTGACAGGGATCATGCCACCTGACTGGGGCTGTGACATCCCCAAGCCAACTTACAATTGATCAAGGGAATCCTGTCGGCATTACCTTCATCATCTTATCAATTGCTTCCAATGTTAGTTTTCGTTTTTATTTTCAAACCTTCTCAATTCTCCCTCCTCTACTGTCTACATAAGAGTGTAGATCTATGACATACCTGATATTCCTTCCAGAATTCTCTTATTTTTATCTTATGGATCTTGACATCTTGTTATACACAGACCTCTCCAATTATCCCTTTGAAAAATACCCATTAAGCCCAAAGGAACCCCAATATCTAGCACCAAAGACACCATAAAAAATCCATTTCTATTTAAATACCTGTGCTAGAGAAAAATGAAAGAGTTCCTACCTATTTTGTGGTGCTGTAATTACAATAGGAAATCATTTAAAATTCCAAAGTAAGATAGAACACAGATGCACCAGGTGGCCCCATTCTTGCATAAGATGATGCTTAGTTGAGGAAATCAGAGAAAGTGCAGAAAGCAGTTTTGAATCTTTAATCTTTAGGTAGAAATACATTGCAGCTTTAGACAGTGCCATAGAAACACTTTACCCACCCAATAGATATCAAAGTCAGTCCAATGTTATACTATGATTTTATATTCTAAATCTGCTATAGAAATTAGAATAACACAATAACCAAATTTTGATTAGTAGATTAAGGATCATCGTTGAACCCATAGTAAAAAAATATTGGATAATGGTCAATTTAAAGGGAAAAGTTATATGATGTACCCTGGAATGTTCTGAAAAGAATATATTGTGAATGGTCTCTGTGTCTATTACAGTTCACACTGTCCACAGCATATTACTACTTTTGCTTTTATATAAAAGTTTAGGAAACAAAATCTTGAGGCTCGCATACCATATGAATGGCTTCTCAAGAATCTTTCTTAATCTTGTAGGGAAACTAA